TATTGTATTACTGTATTTATACAAAACAGAGTGGATATTGGATTTTTTAAATAAAATGCTTTTTGAGGGGAAAAATCTATCTAAAGATAGTTTTCTGTTTAAGATACATTATAGTCCAAAGGTTATTCATCATAAAATAAGGATTAGTTTTTAATTATGCAGCATGAGGCTGTGTTTAATTTTTTTGGTAAATGAATTCCATTGGTCTATTTACAATGTCATGCTCTTCCAGAGGTTTCTGAAAGATTATTGGACAATTTTTCCATCTAGAAGGTATCATCACAAATGCTTGGTTTTAGAGTTCTCAAAACTGAATTTGTGTCTGCCAAGATCATATGCCTCTTCTTTACTTTAAAAATGTTATAAAATAAACATACAGAGTTGAAAAAAGACCTTAATTCCATTGTTCCTGTGCAAATCTATGTACACAGAATCAACCCCTTACCTCTTAAGTACTTAGTTTTTAAAAAATCAATGAATAGAAGAATATTGTTGGGAGTGGAACAGATCTGTACAAGAAGCTAATTGTGACAAGGGAGGAGCACACAGTAAAAATGAAAATGAAACCTTTTGAGCCTTTTGTTTATAGCATGGGTCCTCAAACTACGGCCTGCAGACCGGATCCAGCCCACCATTCCCATATATCCAGCCCACCTGAGAGGTTTTGGACTTGCTCGGAGAAAACTCTGAGCAAGTCCAAAAGCTCTGAACCGTGCAGGTGTTCTTTAAAACTGAGCAGTGAGAGAGCCAGCGCATGCCCAAATTGCAACAGTTCAACTGCGTGTGCACCAGCTCCCCCCGCCCCCATTGCACGCATATACAGAGAGGGAATACAGAGCAGGAAACAGAAGAGAGGCAGGTGGAAGAGAAAGAGATGAACATGAAGATGAAGAAAGGATTGAAGGTAACAAAAATGTAACTTTTAAAATCTATTTTTAATTATGCAAGCCCCGGGACGGCATTGCTGTGCACGCCACTGCCTCACCATGACTGCTGCCACCTTGCCGGCCTGTGGCCACTACCTTTCAACTGGCCCCCTGTTGAAAAAGTTTGAGGACCTCTGGTTTATAACCTGAAGTTCTCCCTGGAGGAGAACACCTATAATGGCAGCAGGCCATAAGAGACCCAGTTTGAGAATATTTTAATGAAGACGCTCTACATATGGATAAGGTAAAGCAGGCATGCATGCAAATTATGTAGAAAACCATGATTTAAATCTAGTCTTACTGACTAATGAGTTAAATCAAATCCACTCTGATACAAACTGTATAATTGTAATTTTATTGTTTTATATTGATTCTCCTTCTGATTGTCCTGCCTCCATCTCCGTTATCTTCCTCTGATATCTCCTCTCAATCAAGTGTTAGACTGTAAACTAAAATTTTGCCATTTAGAGTGACTCCCTCATGTTTCATGAGGTTTAGGACAGAAGCAGTAATACAATATTTCCCTAAGAATGTGTCATCTTAACACCACAGATTTGATCTTGAATTACAAGATGGGTGTGTTTCACCCGGAAACACACTGGCTTGGCTATGCTCAAGAAGCTATGAATACCCCTGGTAAATATAATCCACATATGAGCCTTCAGAATTTATGTGATACTTGTGTGTGGGGAGGGTGTCATTAGAAATTGCATTCCTAGTCCCTGATTTCTACTTTGTGAACCATGGATAGATCTGGTTCAACTAGTCTTTGGTAGACGTCTAGCTTTTCATTCATTCTATAGATCTACCACTTTAATATCAGATCCAGAGTACACCTATATAATCAACATATAATTTACGTTTCGTATGACAGTCTCCTTAAAATCCCTTGTCTAATAACTTTGACACTAGCTTAATTAGAATGAAATACATACTGTCAAAGAACTCAAATTGGATCCAAGTGTAGACAACTGAGTTTCAGACAAAATTTTAACATGTATTTTAAACCTGAATATAGGTTTGTGCAATGCTCGTGGGTTTGTGCAATGCTCTCCAATTAAAACTGATAATTGGAGAGTCACAGACTCTCAGCCCAACCTACTTCACAGGGCTGTTGTTGTGAGGATAAAATGGAGAGGAGGAGGAAGAGGAGAGTTGTATAATCCATCCTGAGTTATTTGAAGGGAAAAATATAGGATATAAATGCAATATTTACATATAATTTATGAAGATCAGAGTGTTGGCTTTTCTATGGCATGCTACACCCCCCCCCAAAACTTTCCCTATTCAGCTTCTTGTTGCATTCTGTCCATTAGTTAGCCATATTTTTCCTCATATTTTACCATCTTTCCTCTCTTTACCTGTTGATACTTGTACTCACAGTTCCTTACTGATATGTGCCCCACCTTACAGTTGCCTTAGGTATTAATGAGCCTGAGAAGACTTATAACTTTACCTCCATTAGCAATTAAATTTCAGGGAAGTCTGCTGTCACTCCATGGTGTGTGAATTACTGCGATCAAAATATTTTTGAGTCAATAGGCTATAGTACAGGAGGTGATCTATATTGTTGGAGATTTTATGTACATTGTATGCTATGCTATGCTAGTTGCGAAGTCGTGTCCCACCCATCGCAACCCCAGGGACAACATTCCTACAGGATCTCCTATGCTCCACCATCCCCCAGAGTCCACCGAAGCTCACACCTACTGCTTCAGTGACTCCATCTAGCCACCTCATTCCCTGCCGTCCCAAATACTGTATTACTTGCAATCTTCCATCCCAAAGCTCTTGAAAGACAATTCTGGTAAGTCTCTGTAAATGCTTTAGAGTTTCATTTCATCCAAGTGTCTGTTTCATACTTTCTCATGTAGAAGATGCTGAAGGTGACTGAGTCTTTACTGATACTGACACATGTCAGAGAGATGAGATTTCCCACTTCATTGGGAAGAGCAGCCACCAGGGGCTGCAATTGTCTCATATTTAAAATAAGGCCACTGTAATTGGCACACTTTCTGAAGGAAGAGGATTGGCTGTTGAATGACTTGTTCAAGGCCATTTATGCCTTATTAGTAAGAAGAGGATGCTGGTTTCCATTATTATGGTTTAATCTGTTCTGAATTAATGAGTCTCAGTAAATTTCCCTTTGGGGCTTCCACACAGTACTATCTTCATGTTAGTAATTCAATACTGCAGAACAAAGTTGCAGCCAGGCTTACTAGATTTTACTGAATTTAGACTCTAAAACCTTTAGGATACAATGGTATTTCCAGAATCATGCTTCTGCCAAACTTGCTTGATGTGTAGTATGGGAATGTATGAACTAATACTTTAGAAGCTATATATCCATATTAGACCACCACTTGCCATTAATAAAGTTCTCTTCATTGTCTTCTGTACTCAGAGACAGAGTTGCAGATAAACTCTCTATGATAATTACACAATGAACTAGTTCCATGGAACATGAAATGTGTTTCATCTTCTATAAAAATAAAAAATGTGAGCTGGACTGTCTGTTGACAGCATAGCTCAAAGACTATAAAAACTAAACACCTGAAACTTGGCATGCATACTAAGAAGATAGGAGGGGTGTGTACCTTATGGTTATTTGTTTTTTAAAACATGTTAATTTCCTTAATCAACTTTGCAGTTGTCAAGTTCAAGCCAGGGAGGCACAGAGGTATATGACTTCCCTCTCCCTGCTCTGAAACAGCCTCTTCTCCGGGAATGGAGACTGTAGGGACATATTCTATAGCTTCCTCAGGGCAGGGGTCTTACCTAGACATATCAAAAGACAAGGCCTCACTCAAGCAGAAAGGCTGGGAAGAGGCATAAATGTCCAACTCTGCTATCTACATAATTTTGCTTGAAGGCTTCACTGTATCTATATCAACCCATGCAAACCTGGGTCCACTCTCTGGTATTTCATTAAGATGAAGAATGCCTGCATATTAATTTTTATAAGATAAGAGAAGCGGAGATGACATGACATATTGTTGCTTCAGATGCAGGTAAAGGATGGTAGCATATATCAAATTGGTATCTATATCGCATACTGATGCATAACTCAGTAAGCATGTATTTTTATTTTGTATATGTTTGCTGACATGAATCTCAGTATTGAAGAAACATGGAAAAGCATAATTATTCATTTCAAACTCCTCAAACACTGAAATTCTGTAGGTCATGTACACCTGAAAAATGTGAAACACACAGTAACAATCAAATAATAAAATAGGTCAGCTATAAGCAAGAGAAACCAGCAGAACCACAATGTTGACAGTTGAATCTAAGACAGCCATTTTAGGAAACCTTTACTCAGGATGATTAACATAGATTTAGTATCTGTACATGGAAATATATAATAGCTGTTTATTTTGCAAGAAGGTTAAGAATGTTTGAATTAATTTTCCAGTTCTGTATTAGAGATCCCTGGAACAGAAACAAAACGTTTTTGATAATTCCAAGAAAAAGCAGGTGGTTTGGCGTGTAAACCCAAGATTCAAAAACAGTAGATAAAATGTCCATCTCATCCAATATGTTTTCCAAGCATAGGTCTTACCTAATCCCGATTTGTGATCACAGAACCACCAACATAGATCATAGTTTTCAATCTGTGCATATAATAATATGAACTGAAAGAGCAAAGTTATACATGCTTTTATCGCCATTGACTAAAAGGGTGATCAAAATACCCTCGGGTGATTTACTGAGTTGCATAGTGTAAGTTTGAGTGTAGAGCAAGGTGTGTACATGCTGCAAAGCATGATGTCCTGCAGACGGGGAGTTAAAGAAAAAAAAGGCTCTCGTCTCCTGTCCCATCTACGGAGCCTTACCAGCTCGGGAAAGAGCAGGAAAACGGCTTTTGTTGCTCCAGATTGCCACGAACGGCCGCTCGCTTCTGATCCCCAGCCCCCGTTCATTCCAGTTTTCACTGGCAGGCCGGAGCCGGCCTTCCCCACCAGAGGGGCTGGGAGAGCGGGTCCCGCCTGGCTTACTCGTCTCGAAGGCGGGAGGGGCAGCAGCGGCAGGCGGGGTCGGGTTTCACATCCTGATCCTGTCTCACTCAGGAGCAACAGCCTTCGCTCAGCCTGAGGGGCACAAGGAGGAAAGCCAGGGCGGCGCGGCCCGAGCGGAGACATGGCGGAAAGGTGAGTGTGGTCGTCGGACCCCGTCAACAACTTTATGGAATGTGGGGAGAGGGCCCTGCCGTTCGCTTGCTTCCCTACCTGTGGAGCTGGGTGGGGCGCAGGGCTGGGCCCCGGACGCAGGAAAAGTAACGAGACGCCTCCGCCGCCATTCCGCACTCCTTTCCCCGGAAAGCGCGCGCTTGAGGGACACAGAAGGGAGAAGGGAAAAGTCCGGGGAAACTTTTGGGTGGTTCTGCGGAGTGTCCGAATGAGAAAAGGGCATATAGCTTGAGTTAGTCGGCCTTGGACTCACTCGAGGGTGAGGGGGGAATATCCTGCAATGGAGAGGGGGAAGGACAAAAGATGGGAGGCGGCGGCGGAGGGAAAAGTAACCGAGTCGCGTTGGAAGAACACAATTGTGCGACCGTGGTGGAGATGAAGTTTAATCCGTTTCCACAGATAGACTTGGCGACCTCACCGCCAGGTGGTTTGGTGCTTGTTCCCACGTTATTAAAGGAGGTTATCTTTTGATCATGTGAATTGTTTTAGACAGTGGATATCTGTAGTATATCTGTGTTACCTTCAGTGGGGTAGGTATAGTTTTGTTGGAGAATATGCGTGTAATTCATAGAATCATGCTTGAGATTTCACCTTTGCCCTCTGCAAGTAATAACTGTCCTTTCATGGTGCCATCCATAGTTGCAGTAGCTAATACACATTAGATTTCCTAGTTCACCCAGAATCATGTATTGAAAGGTAGGGCAACATGTACTTTTGCATCAGCAATTAACTACCTAGTATGAGTGTGGCATGGTAGCTAAACTGCACTGATCTGCTTTGGGATCTTGAGTGCACACTTCTGAAAATCACATAAATGTTTCATGTGTGTAGGATGTTACTAGAGAACACATGCCATAGCTAACTCATGTCATGCTTCAACTAATTCCCCTTAATCCTACTGAGATTTTATTTGCATAATGTGGAAAATCTATTGTTGTGAATATTTTAGAATGTATGTGCATGATAATGGAGTTCCAAACTTCACTGGAACTCATGAAGAATGTAATAGCTGCAGATGATTGAGATCAACAGTGTTGGTTTTATACTGGCAAGCTCTGAGATCATCAGGATGGGTTCCCAGTTGGTTGTTTTGCCTTACAAGGGTCCATGAATAGATGCTGTTCTTGACTTAGTGTACAAATCTAGCTGTTCTAAGTGGGAGGCTGTTTCTTCGGTGGATCAGCTGCTGACTATTCCTCTGTTTGAGGTGTTGACCACTTTTGTCTGTTGGTACCAGATAATAAATAGGCAACTTGATAGTTAAAAATGGAATGAACTTGTATTTTTATAAGTGTGTGTTACTTTGAAGTTGCATGTTTTAATTTTTCTGTAATGTAGAATATTGTGTCTTGAATGCTTGCACACTTTTATACTGATGGAAATTGCTGGCAGAATAAAGGATATCCCATTACCCTTCATTAAATTCTTGAAGGAAACTGAACTAAATGTTGTGGCTTAGCTGATGGTTTCAATTGATACAAAACAATTTTACTTCTATATGATGAAGCAGATGTTCAACTCAATGGCTGGGATAAAAAGGGCTGCCCAAATCTAAGGGTATAGACATGCTCAGCAGGATTTGACATTTTTGTTTGAAGAGCACTATGCTATAGTCCAAGAAAACAGTTTGCATAGCCACTTGCTATGTGGCAACAAGGACTACTAGTTAAGAAACCAGAGTCCCTCTGAAACTAGATGTTCAGATCTCTGGAGCCTTGTGTAGCCTAGCTCAGTGAATAAATGCTTCCCCATTAGTGTGGGTGTTCAGTTTGTACATATGCATGTTTGCTTTGAACACAATGGGGCTTACTTCCGTGTGCCCAGGGCCTTCGTAAAGGTGCAGCATAGGATTGCATCTGAATCTAAACATGTGGGGTGAAGGCTGTTCACATTAGGGAGTACTTTGTGTGTTTCTTTTGTGTCTTTCTGTACAGTTTATCTTTATACTAGCTTCTGTTTGTTTCCTTTGTTGATCACTCCTATGTAGAACTGTTAATTCCTAGATAAAAGTTAAGGTCATATGTAGTTGAATAGGGGCATTCGTTTAGAAATGCTGAAAATCAAATACTGTTTTACTGTGCTTGGAGATTTATAAGTTCTTCACAGGGATTCAGTAGCTTCCTGCAGTTTGAATTCTTGATCCTGATTCTAACTCCCCATTTAGCCATAAAGCTTGCTGAGTGAATTTAGGCGTGTGTGATCAGAGGCACGCTCCTGCAGGAGAGACGGGCACAATCTTGGCCATCTCCCCTGCAGCTGTGCTGTGCTGCGCCTGTCTTTCCTGCAGCAGTGCGCCTCTGATCACACATGACTTCCCCGCACGAAAGGAACTGTGCTCGTGGCCATCTCCCCACCCCACCCCCGAGTGGGGAGATGGCTGCAATCGTACTGGGGTGGGGGAAGATGGCCGCGATTGCACCCATCTCTCCCTCCCCCAGCACGCCGTTTGAGCCTGTCTCTTCCTCCCCCAGTGCGCCCGCGATCATGCCTGTCTCTCCCCCCCCACCCCCCAGCGCACTGGGATGATGGGTGCGATCTCAGTCATGCTGGGGGGGACGGGGAGATGGCTATGCTTGTGCTTGGGGTGGGGGGGGGAGATGGCTGCGATCTTTGTTGTTGTCACTTTGCTTCACATTTTTCTGATTTACAAAATGGTTACAGAACGGATTAAGCTTATTTACATTGAACTTATGGGGAAATTTAACTTGGCTCACGACCAATTTGGGTCACGACCAGAGTCCTGGAACGGGTTAAGTTCGTGAGCCAAGGTACCACTGTACTGACTAGGACCTTTGGTATATGTCAAGGCTGGCTTGCAGCAGCTCTCCATTTTTTAGGCAGGATTTTTTGCAATGCTGCCTGGAGATGTCAGCCCACACCTGGATTGCTTTTGCATTTTCCATTGCTTTGCATGGGACCTTCTGCATGCAAAGCATGTGTTCTGTTATTGAACCATGGCTCCACCCTATGCATAAACATCATGTACATTCTATATTGTATATATAGTATCTGAAACTACTGGTATAGTATCTTAAACATATTAATCATGTTCAAATATCTTGTGATCTATCTGCATTAAGTTGTAAATAAGTTTTGAATAGAATTCTCTACAATTCTCATGGGATTCTAGTTTCTCTATATGAGGAGGTAGGAAAGCAAGGAAAATTCTAGAAGCAGAGTTTAAATTCATGGTTGCGCCTGTGGGAATCCACTAACACAAACAGACTCAACCTGACTTCTCTTTCCCCTGCAGTCTTTCAGATCAGTTCTGGAGAATATCTCAACCTCCTGGAGCAGATCTGGAGGAATTATGCAGGAGAGAAAGGAAATCTGTTCATTAACAGTTTCTCTTTCACTGGTAGAGCAACAGCATTAAAGGGAACCCATTATCTAATTAAATGTCATAAGAATGGCTTGGGAGGTGCTTTGATTGTAGTATGTAAGAACTATAGGGGAAAAATACTAAAGCAAAAAGACATCTCTTTTTGAGAAAACATCATTTTCTACCTTTTGAGGAACCTTATAGCCCTGTTTTATGCCTTAAGAAGGTAATTCTACTGTGACTCCTGCCTGGCTCACATGTAAGCACATTCCTGATTGTTTAACACTTACCCCATGGATTGGTGGAACAGCACTGGGGTGAGCATGTGCACTTCTTCCTGCACACTCTGCGATTCGTCTTTGCATCTGCTTCATCAGCAACCAAGCAACACCCTGTTTCTGGGTTGTTTGATGTGAAATGCAAATCCAAAACTTGAAGTGGTTGATAGAAAAGTAATCCAGAATTCTTCCCATGGTTGTGAGGTTGAATGCGGTGTTGCAGGGCTGCTGGTGAAACTCAGTGCAACACTGAAATGGTGAGCAGGTGGGAGGCACTGTGCTCACCTGATAATCTGTAGCCCTGACTAACTGTGGGTTGTTTAGTTGGATGTAAGCTGAGTTTCTGTCTGCGAAACAACTCCTGTGTTCTAACTCAGGATGGTTATAAAATGCAGACTTGGAGATGTTGTCATACAGTACAGACACAAATCACAACTGTTTCTCCCTCTTCCCATTTGTTTATCATCCTTTTATTAAGATGGATTTGAACAACTAGAAGCTAGTTCTCGGTTTTCTTACATTTTAGTGTGGGGTCCCTGATGCAGTATCCAAGGGACGCAATTATCTACTCCCTGCCTCCTTAACATTTATGTTTAATTAAATAAAATACAATATGTTAAGGCACCAAGTTCTCCTTCCTGTAACTGAACCTGCTAGCTTCAGTGGGCAGGAATAAAAGGAAACAGTTGCTTATTGGCCCTGCCCAATCTTCTGTCCTCACAGACTTTTCTCCTTTTCTGTTAGTCCACTCCAAGACACTGGCCCTGCTATTTCTCGCCACTGAAGCCATTCCTTTGCTATCTCTCCCCCTTACCCATCCATAGCCACCTTTTCTCTTCCTTTTAAGCCCTAGACTCCCTATTTCTGCACCCCACCCCCATAACTCCTTTTTGATTAGGCATTATGTGATGCCGCTCACAGTGGGTTCTCAAATGTGCTAATGGATCCAAAAATGTTGGTGACACCTGTTTTACTGGGTCCTAATAGCAATATCATCCTAAGTGGGTTTGGGCTTCCAAAATAGCTGGTTTCCTAAGTGGGACCCTCCAGATGTTTGGAACTAAAATGTTCATCAGTCCAAGCCACCATAACCAAAAGTTGGGGTGATAGGAGTTGTAGTCAAAAACATCTGGAGAGCACCAGATTAGAGAAGGCTATTTTAATAAATTTATATACTGCTAATGTTCTTTATTATTGTTGTTTATCTGCTTGCATTTTAATTGACCAGTGTGATTCTTAATAAGATAAACACAAATCTGAGAACAAGATTTCATTAGGCTTCTCTTAGTGTTCACACAGAAATGATCAGTACTATTGTTTCACCTGGTTTCATATTTTTCCTATTCATATTAGGAATAGCA